ACTTCTTTTTAACAGGTCCTGTAGATGTAGGACAAGGGATTTAAACTAAACCAAGGTAGATTTAGCCTACATCTAAAGAAGCCATTTTTTACAATGAGGGTTGTGAAATAGTAGAGGAGGTTGTCCAGAAGAACTGTGGATGCCTTATCCCTGGAAATATTCAAGAGACTGTTGGCTCTGAGCAGCCTGATCCAGGGAAAGCTGTCTCTGCTCTTTGCAGGGTGCTTGGACAAGATGGCCATTCAAGTTCCCTTCCCATCCAAACTGTTCTATAATTCTGTGATCTCTACAAAAACAAGATAGATAGGTATAAAAAAATAAGACATCAAGTAAAATTAAAATACTTGTGTCATTCAATACTATCTGTTCTTCAGTGTTCTAGCTGTCCATATCTTTGAAAACTTCTACATGTTTATCTAGGAAATAAGTGATGAAACAAGAATGACAACACAGTAGTGATTATTTCTTAGATTTACAAGTATCAAAGCAATTAAGAGCTGAGGCCTGTAATAAATTCTTTTCTGAAATGTACCAGGATTTCTTTTTCCACTGCTCCCTCAGGATTTTTAAATGCTAGCCTTTAAGCTACAATTTTACACAATACTCTGAGTTGGAAGGGACCCACAAGGATCATCAAGTCCAGTTCTTGGGTGAATGGCCCACACAGGGATTGAACATACAACTTTTGGTGTTGGCATTTTTAGAACCACATTCTAACCAGCTGGGCTAACCTAAGGTCACCTATGGCTAGTTTTAGCCTTTTTGGTTAAGATTTAAATAAGTCCTTCAATTTGGTGAAATGTAGAAACCCAGTCTTTTAGAGAATGATAATCTCTGAGTAGAAAAATTAAATCTTCTCATGGTGGTGTCTGATGTCATTGAACTCTCCAGTCAAAGGAAAGATGAGACAGAGTAGATTTTTTTTTAGTTTCTCCACTGAACAGAGTCTATGCTGGGTACAGAATCAAATTTATCAGAGTTAACACAACACAATGCAAGATGAGAAATCATCATTGAGAATTTACTCTTTTGGAATGTGATTCTATGAATATATTTAACCAGATTTTCTAAGGAAATAATTATGCTATGTGAGCATTCATACCTGTCTCCCCCTCAGCTGTAGTGAGGCAATAGGCAATTGCAATGAAATGTGAAAAAGTGAGGAGGAAACAAAACAACAGGTTCCTAAAAACTTTGTAAATCTCTATATATGGTTAATTAAAAAACAGGGACATTCTGAGTGTGATCTGTGTTGTTGTGACAGGACAGAAAATTCACAGGAGTATAAAAGAAAAAGAAATAGAGACCAGAAAATTCACAGGAGTATAAAAGAAAAACAGAGACCCTTCATTCATGTCTCAGTCAGAGCTCAACCTTTTCAGATTGACTGGCCAAGGTCAGTCAATCTCAGGATGCAAATGCACTGGGAACTAGATGTCTTTAATTCCAGTGTTGATAGAATTTGATTTTTTCCAAATAGTCTATTTCACAAAAACTAATAACATTCTTTCATAGAGATACAAAATGAAAATACATACTGAACATGAAAAGAATCTATTGAAAACAGCTCTATTAATCACAAATGTCCTCTTTTTGTCCAACATCTAAAAAGCAGGCAAGGTTAGATGAGCAAAATGGTTCTGAGATCTGAACTGAGATGTTGAACTCAGCATGAATCCAATATGAATCATTAAGTGACCAATTGTCTTTCTTTTCTTCAGGGTAAGTATTTATATTGCCTGATATTCCAACCTCTATTAAAATCCTCTCTTCAGCATCTGTCTCCAAGCACGGCACTTGTACCAAGGAGCCAATCAATTAAAACTTTCCTCCAGCTTAGGAAAGTTGGTTAGGCTTTGTACCAACTATTTGGTGATCTCTTCCACTGAGCACTGATTTACAAATATAAATAAGTCTCTTGATAGTGCTGAACATGGTTTTTTCAAGTCCTTCAGTAATGGAAAACTAACATCACTGTACTAATATGAATTATTTTATGCAGAGTTTCCTTTCTAAAATGTATTTTAATATTCAAGCTAGAGCAAGATAAATACTTTATTTTTAAGAATTTTGTCTGAGTGTGCATTTGGGCATTGTAGATTTTTTATTAATCACAAAGTATTAATCTACACCCGGATCTGTATTTTATGCTGGTAAGTTAGCAGAGAATCTCACATATTCTCTGAGGTGCGTCAAGGAATTTAAACTGTTTTGTTTTTTTTTTTTCCCCCCCCCACATAAGAGAATTTGTTTGATTTCTCTTAACTCTGTAACTGTTATTCAAGTGTGTTCTTATGAGAGCTCTAAATGAATTAACAGGGAGCTCAGAGCTTGGTGAAGGTACCTGGTAAGTGGCTGGCACAACTGAAGACTAAAAGAGCATCCACTAAAGAGAGGGCTGACAGGGGTGTACTTACAACTTTAACTCCTGGAAGCACCACTGATCACAGATTTAAGGTGGATCTGCCTCAAATTAGTTGTCTATGTCAAGTCTCACTGAAGCCTTTTAATCTCAAATCCCCAAGTATTTTTTAACTGCAAACTAGGGCACAACATTTTAAATAGAAACAACTGAGTAACATTATTTCAAAGAGGAATTTTTTTTTTTTTTTTAAAGATTTCTTCAAAAGCCCCCTGTAACCTTGCAGTCACCTTCCTGGTACACCAGCATGGTCTTGGGCAGCTCGGGGATGCTCAGCAAGCCCTGTGCTGTCCTTCCCACCAGACCATTAGCACTGTTTGCTCTTGGCATTTTTGGGACCCTGCTGATCTGCTCTCCAGCTGCACACCAGACACTTTCTGCCAACATGCACACAGTAGTCTTATTTTACCCCAAGAGATGGGGACATCTCTTCACCCTGGGGCAAGGTTCATACCAATACCAGTAATTCTCTTCAGGAACAGGTCCCACAAATCCATGTCACCTGAGGATGAAGGTAACCTCCTAGGAATTAAATTCATAATATATATAGACACTGGGAAGTGTTCTGAAGCAATCAGTCCCTTACCACCTTCCCTTCCATTCTATTATTAAAAAAAAAGGCAAGTAAGGGTGCTTTTTCCCTAATACACCCTTAAACTTTTTTTTCCCACATTTTAAAATCTTTAAATTGTACTGATCATTTAAAAATGTGTATAGATTTCATGAAGAAAATCTTGGATGGTTTTGGGGATGCAGAATTCTGTGATTTGAATAACTGGACTACAATGTAAAGTTTATTACCAGCTGTTTGATATGGGCAAACTACATTTTTCTCTCAGCAGCAGAAAGCTTAATATATTTTGCAGTTTTGCCATTAAATACAGAGAGATGATTTCCCTCTAATTTCTAAAAGCAGTTTTGTGGAAGAAAATGGGTAATCAACGTGGAAAATATCTTTTTTTCTGAAAACGCTTTTATTCTGACATAAATGACAGCTATTTAAAGGCAATCACTTGTATTTTATATCTCACACAAAAACCAGCAGACACAGTACCCTGCCTTTGAGACAAAACACTGATACATGTGACAGAACATTTCAAGCAGTATTAATCAGAAGCCACAGATCCAGCATCATCAAGAAAACAACTGAAACATTGTCCATTAAGATCTGTATCTCTTTTTGCTATTGTTGTTCAGCCTTTAGCTGATATTACGCTGCACTATGAATAACCAATTATCTGCATCTGACAGGTACAGGAGATGCAAATCACATTTGTTCTGCAGTATGTACACTGATGACTTACACATCTGTTAAAAATAAAGTGTTTTTCAAAATATCACCCAGGAGGCATGTGTTCTGTTTTCTGTTCAGTGACCTTTGGAAACTCTAGACCAATGAATAACTAGTGATGCAGGAGTAAGTTGGGAGACAGTAGCTGCAAAGTGCCTATAACCCTATATGTTATCTGTTATGGAGATGGCTATGATAAAAAGATACATTGCTCTTTCATAATTTGCCTGAGAGAGCAAATCAATGAGAACATAGACTTGTATCCCCTTAAGTTTAACGATTATGGAATTCATTATCCTGGACAATTAAAAATATAATATGCAGAGAAAGTGCAGTGAATTATATCATTTAAGTATCTAATTTAATGGTAATTTGCTACCTTATAGGCATTTGCTCACATGGCATCAACCACATCTTGATAAATCTGGCCTACTATTCAATCATTTTATGTAGAAAGAAGCTGAACTGTGCTTCAAGATAGAAAAACTTCATATTCCCAAGATATTGGTAGAACACTAAAGGAATTCAGCAATGACATTCTTGCATCTGTTAGAAAGCTTTGTAAGCATTATGACATATTACAAAGCTTAGACTTTCTTTTTCACACCCTACATGGCCCATATGGCCTCGATCTGTGTCAGACAAAGTCAGCACTGTAAGACAACAGCTATGCAACCAAAAGGCAAGGAAAAAACACCAAATCCAGGGAGACACGGCACAGCACATATGGCTTTGCTTTTGGTGCTACATTACCAACAAAGCCTTCACTGCAAGCCCCGATTACAGCTCAGGTAACTCAAACTTTGAGTAAGCATATCTTTGAAGCATAGCTATGGTCCATGGCTTTTATGTAGCAACTTGAACATTAAAAACCCTTTTGAAATTTTTTTTTATAGTATAACAGTACGTGTCCTCTATCACACTCATATGCCAGAAAACCAAAGATTTTTAAAGAGAAAACATTCCACAATTCCAGTTGACAAGCTAAAAAGGGAGTTACTAAGTCATAGAGGGTCTTCACAACAACCAAACACCCAACTGAGTACTGACAAGAGTTATGAGGAAGAAAAGCATTCTGAATACAAGTAGCTAAACCATAAACTTCTTAACAGCATGAAAGACTTACCTGTTGTATCACTCACATTTTCACCGTTTAGAATAAACAGTGGACACCTTTATTCAAAATGTGAACAAATATATTCTTAACCAATTTTTATTTCATAATTAATCACATTGTTTTTATTACAGATTATGTTTTTCCTATAAGAAAGAATAAATCACACTTACCCTCTCCAAAGTAATTTCTTCAAATTCATATTCAATTTCTGTTCCATTGACCTAAAGAAAATAAAATCAGAAAATTCTTTAAATCACATGGAGGGTAACTTCATAGGCATACTGTACAGCTGTTCCAGTATCATCAGTTTACTGAAGCACATTTTTCAACATAGAGATGAGGAGTTCTAAAGTACAGAATAAAGTTCTAAAGTACTTAACTCCCCTTTGTCTTGGGGGGGCATAGTCAAACCTCTAAACTGAAAACAGTAAAATTTCAGTATGTAATAGCTATATAAATCAGCAACATAATAAGATTGATATTTGATAAAACATCTTTGTGGACTTTGTGCCATTGTTTAAATAGTTTCCAAGGTAATAATTTCAAGTCAAAATAGAAGACTTTCTTCTAATATTCTCACAATAAAAGAAAAATTATTTAGGCATTGTCTTACAAGCTCCAATTTACACTGAAATACAAAACCAGACAGGAAATTCACAGCACTTATATAAAAATTACTCACTGATACATACACTGAAATACATCTTGTTTACTATATTAACCTAGGGCAAGAACATGACAGAGAACCTTTGCAAGAGACAGCTGAATGGCAAAAAGGCACAGAATGTTAATGTAATTCCTATGCTGAGTCCCAGTGCCAAAGCAAATTAAGCTACAAAATGTAGAGCACCAAAATGGATTGTGCTGGACAAGAAATCTATCAGCTGAAGAGATGACACTGATTTAAGCAGTATTCCAAAACCTTGTTCCAGTCTGACATGGATTATTTTTGTCCCTCCAGGCAACTCACATAACATATCTTTCTCCCTCTTCTCATTTCTTGAATGGGTGGAGTAGAGGATCTGAGAAAGCTACAAAGGCTCACTGTATTGCAGGTAAACTACAGAGCAATGAAAATATATATATCATTAAAATCTCAGAAGAATTTCAAAGTATCACTGCCATACAACTAGTCAGCAATTTTTGACTTGGCCAGAAAGTATTGATTAAAAAAATAATAAGAAGAAAAATTTATTAATCATGCTGTTTTAGTTTCTGAAATGATGGGGTATGTCCTGGAAAATAGCTTTGCTTTAGTGTCTTACTTAATTTACACTTAATGAAAAAAAAAAAAATTTCTCAAGACCTAAACTGAAGGAAAGGACTGGCATTGGCTTCATTTTGGAGAAGAAAATGTTTTATTTCTCAAAACATGAACATTTATCACTCCTCCCTACTCCCAACTGCTAATTTTCTGTATTAGATTCCTAACTGCAATCATAAAACACTGTATATAAATCATTCTTTATCCCGTCAAGCACCTTTCAAATGTAATTAGGTACTTCTCTTGTGAATATTTTAACAAGATACATGTATCTGCCAAACAAAAGCTTCCTCTAAATTCCACCAACTATTTAATTTGTTTACAATTCAAGATGTGATAAACCATGAAATGAGTAATAGAAATACAATCTCCAGAATCTGTGTTGAAAAAGAGAGAGAGAAAAGTCCAAACAAACAACTCATGCTTAACAATTGCAGGAAAACACAGCATCAATGAATATAATATTCAATATGTACACAGTATTTGGGTTTTTTAGTTTATTAGCATAGGGTAATCACATCACATTACACTTACACCAGAGATGAACAAAAAAATTTTACTACAAGATATCTTCCTGCCCAATGTTATCACTTTAATGCTTTCTGCATAGACTCTTTTATTAATATAGGCAACTTACTACATATGAAGACCTTTATAGCTATTCCATTTTTTGTCCTTTCTTGTCTAATGATAATGAAATCAAAGCCATCTATATGTCTCTGTTTTCATGAACTTCTCTTTCATCTTAGGTTGGTGGATAGCTCTGATCTATGCCTTCAATTCCTCAGTCTTGCTCTATAAAGCTGTCTTTGCTTCACTGCTTATAATCGCTTTTCCTTTGCATTAAAAACTCATTAGTGCAGCAAAATGGGAAAAAGAGGGATATGAGAAGTGAGCAACCTCTGTGGAAAGATGAAAGGAGAAAACACAAGCTGAATACTCAATTTGTATTTGCACACAAACGATATCTTGCTTATGACCATCTGAGGGGTTTCTATTATCATCCACAGGGGCGATTCTGAAAATGCCTTCAATTCAAATCAAAATTAATTGCAGTAGAGATCCATTATCAGGCTCCATAGCAGCAGGGGTGATATGAATTAAAAAGTTGATCTTGAGCCAGCTCCTTTTGTTATTTAAACATACATGTCTGCATGTACCGTTCACTGCCCTGTTTGTTTTGCTGGTTGCTCAGCAAACCAATGCAATTATTTATTAAAGAATCCAATAAGATACTGTACCCACCTGAGGCAGATGGAATGATGCTTTATGCAGTACCACTCATTGCTAGCACCATTTAACTCCACATTTAGACTCTCTGGCTGCACCTACACTGCTAAATTATAGTCAGTTTTCAGCCAAGTCTCAGCGCTTAGGGCTGTTTCTGTCTGGAGCCTGCTGGAAGCAAATGGCCAAGGACTGAGCCAACAATTAAGCAGAAAGAGAATCATGGCTCCAGCACTGGAACTAGCTTGTGGGTGCTCTCATTTAGCAGCATATGGACATACCCTCTGCTTTTGTACATTTTAACTTGACAGTCTCTGGCCTGTCAAAGCACCTAAACAAGCTGCCTGAACCTGCAACTTCAATTTCTTGCAAGTAGTAGCAACCTACTCTCGTGTGCCTCTTTGCATGACTTTTCTAATCCTGCTTTTATATCAGATTGCAGCAAGAACAGAAAGCAAAATTTACTACAGCCTCCATGATTTTAGATAACTATGAAAAATTAAAAACATTTTCATTCAGTTTTCTCTTCTCCACAATGAAAGAAATCATCACATTTTCCAGTTGTTTGGGAAAAATTCTTTCTCATCTTCCCAGAGTGCAAGCTTGTCATGACAGATATCTTTAGTTTCAAGTAAAATTTACATTTATAATGCTGAAATATGAGGTAGTCATCTAAGTCTATACTCAAGTGAGTAAAAATAGGCATATGAAGGTCTTAATTAACTTCATCCTCCTCTAAAAATCTCAGGTAGGTGAAGTGAATTGTGCTCGGACGTTTCCTTTCACTATGTACAAAGAGAATCTAAAAATGATGTGTGAAGTTAGGTGAGCACTTGCCTTACATCTGTTTTCTCTGCATTTCTCCTGGCTATAGTCTGGTAACAAATTTCTGCTTAAGGGATGCTGTATATCTTTTATAATTATGCACCACTGAAAGGCCGGATCTCCGGTTTAGCAGCTTTTCCAATTGCTTTTTCAGGCTTGTCTGCACCTGTAACTGGCAGCACATGCCTGGCATGGTATCCAGCACCTACTCCCACAAGCCCAACCTATAAAGATATTCACAAGGAACAACTCAATCTTTCCCCTTCTCTAAAAGCCAAGAAACACTGCTCTTGGCTTCTGTCTCTGGATTTGGGACATTGATGTGCACTCTTCTGAGAAAGATGCTCAACAGCACCTGTGACAGCAAGGGGCAGCAGAAGTGGGTAAGGGGTACACAACATGAAGTCCATGGGAGGACACAACCAACTGCATCCTTTCTCCAGGGCACAGGAGCTGGAATCAATACGTGTCTCATCTAGGAACTTGTATTTCCAGCAGGAGAAAAAAGATACTAATAACCAGGACAAAATGTAAAAGCGCTACTTGGGAGCAGACGTGCATGAAATCTTTAGATAATTTTGAGGGCCTCAGCTGCATGGCCAACACACACTTGCAAGGCAAGAATATTCTCAGCCTCCTGATCTTACATGTGTTCATGATCCAGAGCATGATGAATGCACAGCCCTTCTAGAGTAAGTTACCAAAATTTAATTAAGCCCCAATGTTTAAAAGAACCCCCCCAAAGGCAAGGTAACAGTTGCCTATCATTTAAAACTGCACCTGTTATTCTAGAGGATTCTCCAAAACATTTGACAAGAAAAGGTCTTAAAGAAAAAGAGAGACATAATGTAGGGTAACTATCTAGACTCAACTATTCAAAAGAAATTTCCTGGCAAAGCTCTCATCGCTATTAGAGTTCACGTACCTCTCTAAGAAGAAAACACTACTCATCTTCAGGGACACTTACTTTCAGGAGAGTGAGAAATAAGAAACAGGTAGAGACATTTTTATACACCATTTTGTGAAAAATCTGAAGCACAGCATACAGAATGCCAAAGTAAAGATGTGACAAACTCAGATTCGTTTGTTCCTTTATGTGAAGATTCCTAACTTTTTCTCTCCTTTACTGCAGTTTAAGAGTGACATGAGCAGCTGAAGTAGTCCCTTACTGAAAAATCTGCTCTACAGATTATGCTAAATTCCTAAAACCCTTGAGACAAGCATTCTGCTGAGTTTTTCATTTTCTGACACATATTCTGCCACTTCATTAATATTTTTTAAGGTATTTTTTCTCACAATTTGATGCTCTTTTTATTTTACTTCTGCAATTATTTGATGGACTTGTTTACACTTGAAAAGTAAACATTGCAGAATTCTTTCTTGCTATACTTCTACTACAACTGCATCCACTCAATAAGATATATATTTCATTACATGAATTTTAGTGGTAAGAACAGCATTATGATAGCAGCAACCATCTAATCAAGACATGCAGTTTATTCAACTGCAAGATTTCAAAACCCCTGGACCTATCCTTTCTATCCTATCCATCAGAGCCGTTTGTTATGCTAAGCCTTATTTTCAAGAAGATATTGTTTTGCCTAAAAATTACATCTGTAGACTTTTAGTTCAAGCAAAACTCATTTTAATCATATTTAATTGGGTATTGTTTTTCAGAAAACTGCAAGAAAGAAGACTGCTGCTGCTACTTCTGCTACCATATGCATGGGAAGATAACTTCCCTGACAATGATTTTCATTCAACATGCAAAATCTGTTCCTTTGGCTGTATGGTTTCACCAGTTGTCTCATTACCCAAACCTCAGCAGAATACAAGATTGCCAAATTCTTGTTGTACAAGTAACCTCAGGAGATATTTGTCCTTCAGAAATTTCCAGCTGGCTGT